TCAAAGTGATTTATTTCAGTTCCCACTCTCCCTAACTCCCTGTAGTAATACTTTCAGATCTGACGCACAGCCACTTCACACAAGCATGCCAACTGCCTGGATACCTGGTTGCTATGGCAACATTGTGGCGCCCACACAGATCTCCATCCTCTCATGACTTTAGTCGCAATGGTCACGTCCCTAATGGGAGCTGGAGACAGGTGGACTGATGAAGGAGGCAAAGAGAGGAGGACCAAGTCATATGATGACATATGAGAGTTCTGACACACAGCTGTTCATATTACTGCTGCTGGACTCCACACACAGCTGTTCATATTACTGCTGCTGGACTCCACACACAGCTGTTCATATTACTGCTGCTGGACTCCACACACAGCTGTTCATATTCAACCCAGTCTCATGGCATTTCGTGTTCACCAACACGATTTTAAATCTATTGATTCGTGTTCACCAACACGATTTCCCCCTTTTTTTCGTGTTGCACAGCACGATTTTAAAAGCAATGAATTTCTACTGGTAATGTGTTTCGTGCCTGGCTGCAGCATGTCTTTTTCTCCAGTCGGGTCGTGGAAGACCGGAAGCTGTGTGGTTCATAAAAACATGTTCTTACTCAATATCAAGCCACAATTATTGCTTTTATTTTAAATCGTATAATTTCGGACTTTTGTTGCCGTCTGTGAGGAAAATAAATGGGGCTCAGAGCCTCAGAATACTGAAATCTGTATTTTTAAAATCTTTTTTCCCTTCTAATTTGTTATTCTTTTCAAAATAACACACTGTTATTTACTCACCAATAACACACAATTATCCTTGCTTTTATTTATTGGTTTAATTCCATAATCTCGGGCTTTTTTGGCGTCCGTCAGGAACTGAATTTCAAAATAAAAATAACCGGAAACAGATGTAGGCATTTCGAGCGATTACCCAGGATCCTCAACTATGGTTTAAACTCGCTGATTGGATGTTTTAGCCGCAATGCATGCTGGGATTTGGTGTTTATATGATATGATATCCGGAAAACATTTTAAAAGAATAAAATAATACTTAATTCCGAGCGCTCTTGCTTTTCTCTTTGAAAGTCATCACATAACGGCATTGTAATACACGGTTCGGCTGCATTGTATATTACAGATCTGCCGTAGTTCTTTATTTATAGAGCCCTGATGAGAACACCTTTGGAAAAACTGGAAGAAATGCCGCCGAATCTGAATACTTGACGTGGATCATAAATATATCAACAATTAAACAACATCTTCAATTTCTCTTCACACAATACGTCTCCTTGCAGTATCAACACTAATTCGGCTGACTTTTATATTTGATCTAATTCATAGATAGGTTATATTTACACCATAACGGTGCACAGCTGATATAAAAGGACTTGTAGTTTTTAAAGATATTACTGATTTTCTTTGAATATAGGAATGTAAATACTGAGTCTAAAATAGTATAGCAATATGCTGTAAAATTATGTGAAAGCATGAATAAAACTACACATCTTCAGATGTTGTACATACATAAGTGTCCTACACTAATAATACAAAGTTATTATGGCTACTTTGTAGAGCTTCAATAACGTGCTTTAACCTAGTGGTTAAAGCATGTTATTGAATTATTGTTTTTATGTGTTATATTTGATTAAAAAAATATTAAGAGTACATACTTTCATAGGGGGAAAGTAGAAGGTCTGTGATAGAAATATAGAATATAAAAAATCAAGACAATACTATAAGTGATCTCTACAATAAAACAGTTTAGTGCAGAATGTACAAAGATATTAATAGGAGGATGTGCAAAACAGAAAAACTAATTAACCTTTATTTACTTTAGATTAAGGTCTTCTTTTAAATAAGAAAAAAACTTTGGGGGTATCTATCTACAGATAAATATTAAGCCTGACAAAGTACTTAACGTCTAATATATTACTTTCCTGCAATGTTAACTATGTTGAAGCACTTATTTTAACTGATATTATACATATGAATTATACTCTTATGTATGTAGATAGTATAAGAAATGTGCAGAATATGACAGTTTAATGGGGAGGTATACACACATATTGATAGATGTCTTGTAATGCACTGTTGAGGAACCTGTGACCCACGTTTTTCATTCATTGCATACACCGTAGTTGTGTATATGCTATGTCAATAAACCTTTGAAAATCTTGAAATCTTGAAAGGGATGTGCAAAATAGCAATTATACAGTCTTTAATTAACTATTAGTAGAGAATAACAAGTAATGAACATACTTTATTACTTGTTTCCATTCATGTCAATTGCAGATAAATGTTTAGTCTTCTCAAGCATCCATCCATCTTCTCCCACTTATCCGTGGTCGGGTCGCGGGGGTAGCAGTTCCAGCAGAGAGCCCCAAACTTTCTTTTCCCTGGCGACATCAACCAGCTCTGACTGGGGGATCCCAAGGCGCTCCCAGGCCAGCGAAGAGATATAATCCCTCCACCTGGTCCTAGGTCTACCCCTTGGTCTCTTCCCAGCTGGACGTGCCTGGAACACCTCCCTAGGGAGGCGCCCAGATGGCATCCTATCTAGGTACCCGACCCACCTCAACTGGCTCCTTTCGACGCGCCAACTATCAAATATCTCTCCTGATTGTTGGCACTTGACAATCACCTTACCTGAATTTTACTCAGGTGTAACTAAAGTCTGATTTAAGGGTTGTTTATATTTCACATCATTAATCAGAATCTGCAAAGTAACTCAAATAAGTGTAGTGGAGTAAAAACACCAGGTTAACCTCTGAATTGTAATGGAGTAGAATTACAAAGTAACAATGAGCTGTCATGTGGGTATATATTAATGCTATATACTAATGCTGCGCATGACAAGCGATTTTCACCCATTTATTAATTATATGTTTTACATTTGATAACACCAATGTGTTTAATACTGGCAACTTCTAATTGTGGGGAAAACGAAAACGTTCAGGAGAGACGTCCCATAGAACATTTTGCAAAACACAATAGTCAGCATGTGTAGTTCTGGGGGGGGGCGTTCGATTCTAGTTTTGGATAGTCTGGCGTGGTTTCGTTCCATTTCAAACAGCTGTTTGACGCTCGGCGTAACCTTGGCGCACAGCCACTCCAACATCCAATCCCAGAGCTTGAAGATTAAACACGGGGGCCGTAGTCCTAAACGATAGCTGGGGATTATGGGTAGTGTAGTGTCTTCGGCCATCCTAAACTCCTACGTCTGATTCCGGTTATTTTTATTTTGAAATTCAGTTCCTGACGGACGCCAAAAAAGCCCGAGATTATGGAATCAAACCAATAAATAAAAGCAAGGATAATTGTGTGTTATTGGTGAGTAAATAACAGTATGTTATTTTGAAAAGAATAACAAATTTGAAGGAAAAAAAGATTTAAAAATACAGATTTCAGTATTCTGAGGCTCTGAGCCCCATTTATTTTCCTCACAGACGGCAACAAAAGTCCAAAATTATACGATTTAAAATAAAAGCAATAATTGTGGCTTGATATTGAGTAAGAACATGTTTTTATGAACCACACAGCTTCAGGTCTTCCACGACCCGACCGGAGAAAAAGACGTGCTGCAGGCACGAAACACATTACCAGTAGAAATACATTGCTTTTAAAATCGTGCTGTGCAGCACGAAAAAAAGGGGGAAATCGTGTTGGTGAACACGAATCAATAGATTAAAAATCGTGTTGGTGAACACGAAATGCCATGAGACTGGGTTACTGCTGCTGGACTCCACACACAGCTGTTCATATTACTGCTGCTGGACTCCACACACAGCTGTTCATATTACTGCTGCTGGACTCCTCAGAATGCTGAAGTCTCGGGGAGTGGGCGTTCATGGTCCACAGCTGCAGGATATTTGTCCCTCTCTCTCCCCCCGCCTACACCAACTCTCAGACATCCTTCAACCCTGCTGCTTGCTCTCAGTCTCTCAACTTATGAATCACTTATGGGCACTCACTATGGTTGCATAAAGTTGACTTCATATATCTGATTGGGCACTGACAGACTTAAATATCTAGCTTACTAATGCCCCTGACAGTCCATACTACTGGAGGGTTTTTGGTGCAGCACAGCAACAAGTGACTTGCAGCCTTATCATTATCCAACATGTCATCACAGTATATGATGTTTTGATTGATCTCTGCTCTGATTGAGGGACAGTTTAGCCTAATATAACCCCACTCATCACCTGCAACTGTCCCTGACACAGTTTAAGGGTCTGCTCACACACCTGGACATTTTCTACACAAAACAATAGCTCACTGTTTACTTGCATGTATATTCGATGGCACCGTTCACCTGCTTTAATGAAGCTAACTCTACTCTTGGTTCATGGTTGCTATAAAAATATGAAATGCTTGCTTAATCCATCAATGTCAAGATTTGTGCCAAAGCTTTTTATAAGTAGGGTGAACATGAATGGCAGGGAATGTGTTTTTTTGCTGCATTAATTGACTGTTGATTGAACAACAAATCAAATGGCAAAAGAACAGTTATAGGCCAGTTTGAACTGAGCCTGTTGTTCCCACCTCTCAGTCGTAAGAGGCTAAACCACCATTAAAGGTTCATTTAGCTCCAAGACCTGTTACGGCCCGTCCACACAGCGGCGTGCGTTGAAGCTTCCAACGCTTCTGCCCATTCACTTTTAATGGGGTGACGTCACTTTTAGCCGAACTGCATCGTGGGAAGCGACGCGGAGCGTCGCTGGCGTGGCTCGCTGCAAAAGTTGAGCAATATTCAACTTTTGACGCCTCGGCAGAAGCGTCAGCCAATCGAATCATATGCCAGTACAAGCTCTAGCCAATCAAACCGCTGCTTGTGTGTCAGGGGCGGGAGATTCATGTGATTGGTTGTTGGTCGGGTGTCAGACACGCCCGCTGGCAAGCGTCAACGCACGCCGCTGTGTGGACGGGCCGTTAAGGATCTGCAGCTAGCAAGAGGTATGAGAAGGTAAATGGTTTGAAAAATATGAATAAATGACTCTCTGTCTGCAGTGGAGGGGATGAAGGTGGTGGAGATAGAGAAATGTCGCAACGACATTAAGAAGCTCCGTGAGGAGATGGCATCAAGAAACAACAGGTGACAGCAACACATTGAGCAATCACTGAATACACCTGCTTTCATGAGAATAACCACAGAGCTAGTCTCGCTGCTGTCTTATTAACACAGTGATCAAATGTCCCGCCGAAGGTGCTAAGTAGTGCTGTCAGGGCCTTATGGGCCGTAGAGCCAATGTGATTGGATGAAAGATGAGCAGGCATGACAACACCATTGTCCTGAAAAATGACATTAGAAAATAAGAAAGTGGCATGAAAAATTGTCAATTGAAAAATGCCATTATGAAATAAAAAAAGAAATGTTGAAAATAAAGGGCATTTGATTTTTTATTATCAAAAAGGAACATATTCAATTGGTAAAGCATTACTTAGGGTCACTGGCAGTTCTAGGATAAGAGTAAGTACATGTACCAGTCGAATAAATGTTAATAACGTGAAAAATGTCATATGTATTTTTGATACGTAATTTTGAATTTTCAGTATTGATGTAATGATATTTCTTTGTTGCTTCATGCTGTTCCCTAATCTATTTTCCAGTAACTTCCTGGAAGGCAACAAGAAGCTGACTCCACGCAGAGACGTGCCCTCCTACCCAAAGGTAAGTCTGCTCACTGCCCTCCTACCTCACTTCCTGTTAGCCAGCTGAGTCTGCTGATGGTAGCTCAGGTCTACTCAGTAATAAAACAGGTCCGATGTCCTGCGGGTTTTCGGACAACTTAGCATGTTGCATCAAAGGCTGAGTGGCATGGGAGTCTTTTGTTTTAAAAAAAGCAAGCAGTTATCAGTATCAGCTGTTTGTCCCAGGACATTTGATCACTGTGTTAATAAGACAGCAGCGAGACTAGCTCTGTGGTTATTCTCATGAAAGCAGGTGTATTCAGTGATTGCTCAACGTGTTGCTGTCACCTGTCATCTCCTCACGGAGCTTCTTAATGTCGTTGCGACATTTCTCTATCTCCACCACCTTCATCCCCTCCACTGCAGACAGAGAGTCATTTATTCATATTTTTCAAACCATTTACCTTCTCATACCTCTTGCTAGCTGCAAACGTACAGTAGCCCAGATCATTAACAGGTCTTGGAGCTAAATTGAACTTATCCTCAGTGAAAATATCATGGGGTTAGGGAAAGATGTGAAGGATAGATCATCAGGACTTAATGTTTGCTTTCATCAGTAAAAGTTTGCTCAGTGAGATAATAAAGTTCCTTTCCTATCATCTAAAGAATTTAAACAGCTGTTATCTGTGATACTCCTGTGTAATTTCACTCAGTTAGGAACCTTCCTGAGAGAAAACACTGTTCAACCACAACCCAGTGTCTACATATAGTTGAGATTTAACGGTTTTAAAAAAACAATTGGCCTAATTTACAGTTGTTGATTGATCAGGTTCAGTCCATGCCTTTTACCCCACATAAGTCTTTGCAGAACAAAAATACACTGAGCAAGTATCATCATGTCATGTTTACTTCACAGCCCTTCACAGGACGCATCAGTGAATCCAGTGAACGTTGCACATAGTCTAGTTTCACTTTAGAATCAGCTCACCTGTTAACAGCTGAATGGCTGCTAGTGTGGTGGAGTACAACCGTTCTGCAATAGTTAGTGATGATACAGTAACATGTTGGGAAGGCTGGTAGTTGTATACATTACAGCAGGTGTCTGTAGAGGCGGTGCAGACAGGGTTAACTGCAGCTCTGTTGCCTGCAGTACATGCTGTCACAACAGACCATAGACGCCCTCAAAAAACCCGCCTTCGACGTGTGGCTATGGGAGGCCAACGAGGTAAGACTGACCATTTTTCTGAACCCGTCTCACCTACAATTCCCCTCTCTCCTCCCTCCTCCTTCCCCTCCCCTCCCCTCCATGTTCCCCCTGCTGCCCTTTGTGTGTGTGTACCCTGTTTGTGTGTGCGTGTGTGTGTGTGCGCGTGCGTGCGTGTGCGTGTGTGTGTGTGTGTGTGTAGTACCATCTGTCTAAGGAGACAGTAGAAGCTCTTAGATTGCCTACATTCGATGCGTGGCAGTGGGAGCCAAATGAGGTGAGATGCATGCCCTGATAACACACTCATAATGCTTTCATCAAAGATGGGTTCAAATCTGTTCATTATAACTGATTAAAGACGACCAAATGGGTAATAATCCTTTATAATGATCATTTGATTAATGTTTAATAATTGCATGTCATTAAGGATCAGAAGTATTTGCTTAAAATAGGAAAAAAGTGTTGTGAAGCGTCCCCTGCCTTCTCTCCAATGGCAGGCTGTCTGGGGGGGTGTTTAGATAGTTAACTTTAGTTATGTTAGTTGAATTGATCTCAGTGAGTCTCAAACGGTTTGGTCACCATTAAGGTACACAAATGTTTCCAAGGCACACCTTTATATAATTATTATAGTTTTCAAAAAATAACAGAATAAATAAGACAGCTATGAAGTCCTTCCAGTTCATACTGTAGAACAGTACAACTAAAATACAGTTGGGAAATATGCATGAGTAAAAAGAAAACATTTTAACTATGTGAAATAAGGTAAGAAACATTCAAAACGTGTTGAGAGCTAAAACTAGTCTTTCTAATGTTAAACTACATTGTTAAATAAATGAATATTAGACTTGTAGTACTTCATATGCTGTTTCACTTGAAAACTGCATCATTCCTAAGGCAGCAACAGCACATCTGAAAATCAATATGTTTTGATGTAAATCAAAAGGTTTAAAGAAGTGTGTCATCACATGTTCACTGCACACAGACGTGTCACTGCTGTGTCCCTTTGTTGTACAGATGCTCAGCTGTCTGGAGCACATGTACCATGACCTGGGCCTGGTGCGAGACTTCAACATCAACCCCATCACTCTCAAGAGATGGCTGGTGAGAAACATCCGCACACAACCCTGCACAATACCTCTCTAAATACTTCTCAAGCTCAAAGGTCTCACCTCCTGTCCTGT